GCTGGTACTCCACTTTTCCAGATACCAAATGGTGAAACACCAAATTTTACTTTTGGTCGAATACTATGTATTCGCGTATACATTGCTTCTATGAGTGTATTGACATTTGAACGACGCCAATCACTTATATTTAATTGTCCACCTTGTTGTTGATAAGCAGCATATGTTGCATTATCGGGAAATTCAGTTCCATCACTATATGGATAAAAATAATCGTCCATATGAATACCATCTACATTATATCGACGAACTATATCTTCAGTTACGTTTACAATAAATTGTTGAACTTCGCCTGATCCAGGATCCATCCATATATTTTTATCGTATGGATATGCATATTGTGGAAAACGTTTAGCCATATTAGTAGGTGCTAATTCGTAAGTGGCACCTGTCATACGAGCACGATATGGATTAAGCCATGCATGTACTTCAATATTTCTTTTATGTGCTTCAGTAATGATAAATTCCAATGGATCCCATAATGGTGATGGTGCAAGACCTTGCGTACCCGTTAAATAGTAACTCCATGGTTCTAATGTTGATGCATAGAGAGCATCACCAGCAGGACGAACCTATATTGTGATAAAAAAATATATGTTTAATCATACGTAAAGAAGATACATTTTTTTTAATACATGAAAAATGACAACATTCATATTTAAAAGTTGAATAGTATTTAGAATATGAATCAATTCTGTTTGTTGCTGAAAAGGAGTAGCTGTTTTCGATGATGGCCAATCAATATTATCAACAGTAGCAATCCAAACAGCACGAAATTCTTCATTGGTTGCATTATTGATTGAAAAACAACATTTAATGTTCGTTGGCTCTGATTCACATAGTTGTGGAGAAGATAAAAAACTGATTGCTATCAAAATCAAAATCATTTTTAAGTGAAAATACAGTAGAACAAGTAAGGCTCTATATATCAAAGTATGACATCTGTTAAATGTTCTCAGAAACAGTTTATGACGAATTTCTTTATTTGTTAATCAGTTATTTAGAAATGATTTCTAACACATTTATATCACAACATAAGTAAAAACACTTATGCACTCAATTTATAATCGATATGAATAAAGCAAAAGCAAACATATCTAAAGCAAATCGATTCGATCTTCTAGATTTTTTTTTGTTCAATATTCCCAAATACATGCAAAAAAGAACACAAATGAACATTAATTTGTTTTCTTTTGTAAACTTTCATCATTAACATACACCTTAAAGAGCAACAATTGCGCAAAGTAATGAAATAAAAAATAACCGATTAAACATGAACAATAAAAGAAGAATAAGAATAATTTCAATAAAAAACAAGCAAACAAACAAACACACACACACATGCATGCATACACTATTATTCATTTAACTATCTGTTCTCGTATATAACGTAAAAATTCCACATAAGACATGGTTGATTCAGATTTATCATCAACAAGATAACGAGTAAATAAATGTCGATGAGATGAATCTTCTCTATAATAAACAAAAAAATGATGGTATATATATATATATATAAATTTTTATTTAATAATATACCGCATTATATGTATTGCTACGCCATGTGGCCGACTTTGTATAAGATAAGATAGAAAATTATGTATTTTCATTGATAATGGATTTTCTAATTCAGGTAATGAATACTACAAAAAAAAAGAAATATAAAATATAATCTTTTTTATTTTAATTTTATTTACCGAATCAAATGGTAAAGCAGAAAATGTTTGAACATTAAATACATTTTGAACAAAATGATCACTGACAGCTTTACCAATATAAATATAAATATATTCACTTGTATCTAGGATATAAGCACCATGAGAATCAATATTTCGAAATGATAAATGAACACGTTGAGGTATATGTAATTCATCTTCACCATCTTGAATAATTTGACTCTGAAAATAAACAAGATATTATCATGCAATTGCACTTAATTTATTTTTTACCTTATCTTCAATTGTATGTAATGGATAAAGATCAGGATAAAATATTTGCATTAAATACTGTGTAGGTAATGTTTTACATAATTCTAAATAAAATGCTCTATCATCAATTCTTGATGCACTACCAGCTCGAAATGCCGTCTAAATATGACAAATAATAAAATATTGTATAAAATGTTTTCGTTTCAATCTTACCGATTTAATCATACTTAACATATATAAAGGTATAAGTCGTAAAGAATAGGGTACCAAAAGTGAAAATGCTCGATTAGATATGTTATTTGATAAACATGCTTTGAGAATATCACAAGAAACATTAGACATAGCATCACGTGCTTCATATATTGATGAAGTCATTGATCGTTCGGCAGCTAAAATAAGAATATATATTTTTATTTCAAAAAAATATGAATATTGAATATACCCATTTTAGCAACTAATGAAGTAATAGCTTCTTGATCAGCATTTCCACATATTTCAGTTAGACTAGAACTAACTGGTAAAGAAAGAGTATGTACTCGAATACGTCTTTCACCTAATTATAAGTAAAACAAAAAACAATGAATCATTTTTAATAATTTATTTTTTTGATTGTATTTACTTTTGCTTGATGTATAAAGAAGTGCTACTTGAAATGTAACTGATGTATAACTTGCTAAAGTATCTTCAATAGAAACCTGGATACCAAATGCAGCATCAGGATTTATATTAGGTAAAACAAGTAAATCAACTGAGCGAACAAAACCACTTCCATAAAATGTATGAATTGATAATGCTAAAAAATAAATAATTAAATGTTTTCAAATAATAGAAATAGATTATTTTACCTGGTGGTGATCGTAAACGCATGACAGCTTCAAAACCAATTTTTCTTTGTAAATATCGTCTTAAATCATTTTCAAAACGTTCAACTTCATGTGGTTTTTGAACTGAATGAAAACCTGGATAATATTTAACTTCACCACCTGAATATTTTGCAATACAACCTATAATAATTTATATTATTCAAGTGTCTAGAAGAAATATTTTCGACTTACTCAATGTTGCTAAATCAATATGATGACTATTTAAAAGAAATAAATCGCATGCTATTTGTAATGATGCATAATCAAGTGAAAGTTTCTTATAATAATCTGAAGTTGGTCCAATTACTGTTGGTTCTTTTCCTCCACTAACTGATTCATTTAAAGCTCCAGGATTTAAATTTGGTATTCTTGTTTGCATGACTGTTACACGACCACCAGTTTGACCAAGTAATTTTGCTGCTATTTGTAAAGCAGAACCCAAAGCTGAGTCTGTTTCATTATTATCTTGATAGAGTTTTGGTAATTCATTAAGAAATGTTTCAACTATTGATTTACATTCACATAATGTTACTAGTAAACCATCTGGCATAGGAAGAAAATCTTCAGGTTTATTATCAAGATCAGGTACAATCATGACACGAAATGTACCATTTGATCGATCAGATAAATCATAATAATGTAGTCGACTATCATATGTTATAAAACCAATTTTTGTACGTGCATCACCTGGTAGACTATTTAAATTTTCTGATAGTATATCACAAAATGATTGAAGATAACCTATATAGAAGATTATGTTAAAATAAATTATTTTAGTAAATAGAGATTTACCTGTTTGTATAGCATTATGTGAAACATCTAGTAAAAATAAATACATAGCTGGTTGTGGTGGTCTTGCCATATAATCAGCTGTGGCTGTATATTCTACAGTACCAAATCGAACTTCTGGTCGTCGACTTGGATCACCATAAGTTTTTGTTACTGGATCAAATAGAAATTCTTGTGGTACTAAAAATCATATGAATAATAAAAGATGAAATTTTCAAGAATGATTGAAATCAATTAACTTACAATCATTAACACGAAAACATATACTACAACGCCATCGTGTATTATCAAGAAATGAAACAAATGGATTAATATAACTTTTACATGAATCACATCGAACAATCTTTGAGCCTTGAATAACACTTAAACTCTACAACAGAGAAATAAATAAATAAATAAATAAAAAAACATTTATGTTTACTTCAAGATCTTTAAATGGATGAATGAGTACACCAAGTGGAAGACGACTTTTATTGAGTAAATCTTTTGTTTGAGGAATAACATTTAAACTGCATCGCATGACTCTATAAAAATAAATAATTGATTTTAATGAGATGTCATGTTTGTAAAAATAACATACTCTGGATTACAATTCATTTGTTGATTTTCTTCACTAAGTAATAGTGACATAGGTGGTTCTTCGGCATATGGACTGACCACATCCGTTTCTTTTAGTAGATCAACCATATCATTATTCTTTGAATAGAAGAAAAATAAATTTTATGTAATATTATATTTTGTATACATACAGAAGGAGGACCATGAAGATTATTATGCGGTTGAGTCATAGCAGCAGCTGTACTTCCACCCATTGAATAATGCATCGGTTGTGGAGCTACAGATGGTTGTCCTGGATATCCAGCGACAGGAGGATTTGAAGTGTAATTCTGTTGTGGATAGGGATAAGTAGAAGATGATGCTGAAGTTGGAGGTGGTGGAGGTAATGGATGAGTATTTTGATTCATTGTTTGTGGAATGGGTTGTGGTACTTGCGGACGATAAGCAGATGATGGTGCAGGATACATTGGACGAGTTGGCGGTTGAGAAAATGCTGTTGAGTTTGTCTAAAAAAGTTTTAAAATTAGAGAAATTTTTAAAACAATATTTAACTCACTGAAGAAGAATTATAAGTATGTGAAAGTGGTGGTGAAGTTGAATTTTGGTTCGTATTATAGGTAGTTTGTAATGGTGAATTTGTACTTGTGTTCATATTGTATCCAGATGGTACTAGAGGTGGAGTTGGATTTCCATGTGTATTAAAAGTATTCATTTGTGATGAAATCGAATTTGTATTCATTGGATTGGTATTAAAAGTATTAGGTAATGGTGGTGTTGGTGTTGGATTAACATAATTGTTAAAAGCACTAGATAATTGTGGAGCTGGATTTATATGTGGATTATAAACGTTTGGTGATGATGGTGCTGGACTTGTATGCATACTCGACGAATTTGTTATTGGTGGTGGAGTTGGATTTATACTTGAATTATAAACGTTTGGTAATGATGGCATTGAATTTGTTTTTATATTAGAAATATTTGCTGGTGAAATTGCACTTCCATTAGCATTAGAAAAATTCGGTAATATTGACGTTGAATTTATTTGTGTATTTAGCACATTAACTGGAGATGAAATTGGATTTATGTTTGTATTGTGAGTATTTGATGGTGATGGTGATGGCGATGATGTTGAGTTTATTCTAATATTGTTAATATTTGATAGAGGTTGAATATTTGGTGGAAAAATTGGAGCATTTATTTGAGGAGGAAATTGAGCAGAAAGTGTAGAAGAATTTGGTGGAAAAGATGGAGGTCTAATGCCATTTGAAGTTGACTGAGATGTTGGAGGAAAAATCTTAAAAAAAAAGATAGAAAATAGTTTGTTATATTTCAAACGAATTGATAACATACGGGATTGATCATTTTTTCAGGTAGTGGTGAAGGATTTGGCGGTCCTGTTGTTGTCATTGAAATTATATTTAATGAATTCAGATCTAAAATGATAATTATATCATAAATGCCACGTTTCTGTTCAACTTTTGGTCCATTGTTGACGTTGTTGAGAATCCACTAAAAGAGATTTGTTACTTTCTGGACCAATTAAAAAAGTCAATATTCAGAGACATCTATGAGTTCTTGACAGATCTTTATCTTCACAGTTACTATAAGCAAAATATAAATTATTATTATCAAAAATCGTTTATTCTATTGAGAATATGAACACTTGTAAAAACATTAAAGCACTACAAAAAACATTTTGTTTCAAAACTTTATCTAAAATTAGAACCATTGAAGATGTTCGTTTTACAAATTATTACATCAATACAAGCAGAAAAAGTGAAGTGTTTCATAATTGAAAATACAATTAAGACATAAAAGATTTCTTTAGATTAGTTCTAAATCCGTCTATCCGGAGTGGAAACTCATAGATCTTTGCATTATGATTTGATAAAACACAAATGTTATAATAAATACAGTAAACTTGACACTTCCGACATATTCTATGACGAAGTAAAAATTTTAATGTGCTTTTAAAATAATAAAAAAAGAAACAATTTTATGGTTAATTTTTTTTTTTGAAGTACATTGTTCAGCTTTAATATTTTATCTGTTGCTATTCTCTATATCATCATTTCATGAGCTTGTTACTTCTTTTTAAATCTTATATGCATCAATTGCTATCTTCTATAATAGTCTAGACATTGTTGAAATGAATTGTTTCTAAGAAAAAAAAAAAGGAAAAGTTTTTTTTTTGTGTTGTATAATTCTCAACTATAAATGAATAATTAATATAGTAGTAACAAAAAGAAAATCTTATCCGATGACACAATCCAATCGTAAAGAATTATTTCTTTGTAAAGATCAAAGAATATCTTTAGATGACATGTTGTCAATGTCTATTCATATTTAGTAATGTTGAATAGATATAGTTTATCATAGAATTGACACATGTTTTAATTAACCTTCAGATAAATTGTAATGAATATGAACAATTTTTTTATGGAATATTTCCTAATCGAATTTCTCAATTTTATTAAATATATATATACTTGACAGGTCAAGTAAATTCGACACATTTTGAATAGATAATTACTTTCTTTTTTTTGCTACTTGTAAATTAGATCAATGTCTTCTTCTTCTTCTTTTTCTTTCTATGCACGAAATCAAGATATGGTTCAATGATAGTCGGAATGGATCAATACAAACATACATGCGTTTTTTTCATAAGTAGCAAGCAACTTTAAATTAGACAACACAGAAAAAACCATCCATCATCTTCTAATACACAGCAGGATGCCAAACAATAATTATGTTTGAACATCAAATGAACCATCTTTTTTGATTGAATTGTTTTTAAATCTGTTTGATGAAACATTTTTTTATTGTTTCGTCGTGTCATCTTCTATCAAAATGGATTATATTAAAGTAGTATAGTCATCTTTCTAATCATCAATCAACAGAGACATCATATTGTTGACTATTCAAATTAGTTGTCGTTTTTTGTTCTTCACGAATATCAATCGTGTGAAGTGTAAGTAATCCAATTCTTTCACATATATATTTTGTTACATAATCATGACTTTGAACTTATTTCCGTATTTCTTATGATGAGTAATGTTTGCTTATTATACGCCTATAAGCAAAAGAGATGCTACTAAGATGTTTACCAACTGTCATATTGATTGCCTTGCAAAGTGACGAGAATACAATTCATTATAGTCTGTCATCTAATGTTCACCACCATTTTTAATAGTCTTATCTTTCTTATTTTTGACAGATAGACAGAAAAGAAATTATATATGAAAAAAATACTTATTTTTCTTTATGATATTTGAGTGTTTTAAACGGAAATAACAATCAAATTGATTTTGTACATACTAGAATGTCTATCGAAGAAAAAAAATGCAGGTGAACACTTGAAAATATGCATACCATCTCCTCCCTTTCCTACTTATGTTTCGTTTCCTTTTACTCATGATAATTTGTTAAAATAAGTTTAAATTTATATGAGTATGTTCAATGGAATGGAATGGAAACAAGATTATTACATAGAAAATAACCTTCAACACTATTCTAGTTTAGAACAGATGCGCGTCCAGTCGGCAATGGGTCAAGTAAACAATAGATAAAATACACGACCTTTTCCATCATCTTTCTTTTTTTGCTAATTATAACTAATTCTTTCTTTCTCAATCATTCATCAAGTACTTTTTTTTCGGTGTCTATATTTGGTATGATCAGCCAACGGGCATATCGTGTCGGGGTCGGCTCAAGAGTGAAAGAGTAAAGAAGACGACGTAGAAGAAGAAGATTATAGTTGCGGTTAAGCTTAACTAACCCTAAGGCCATCATCAGAGTTTGAATGACGACAACTTAATCTCGCTCACACTTTCCGCAATGATCGTGTCTCATGACGACGTTTGTTGCCCTCGAACTATACGATATACTCGTGTAGACGACAAGCAATGAGTCGATCAAGTGGGAACTTATAAAATAGAACATTCTTTTCCCTTGTTTCCCATCTAATTACTTACTACATCAAACATTAAAGTAAAAATTTCTTCTATGGTCTCCTTTTCCCTTTGCCCGAAGTGTACGCGATGCGGATGTCAGTAAGACATAATCAAATTGTATATTACTAACAAGGCATCTTTCATTATTTGATTGTGCAGCTGTCAGTATCCACATTTAATCGGATCAATTCGTATGTACTCAGTTGGAGGTTTCTCGAAATAATAATAATATAGAATAAAACAAAAAGAAACATGCAAGCAGATGTGAATAAGATCATCTTTATACTTGATTCCTATTAAAGGAAGTATACTAAGTGTTAAAAAGAATGAACCTAATCGAAGCAAGTGAATGAATGAATGAATGAATGAATAGTAAGTCTGATGAGATAATAGTGCGTGCCGATTTGCCGCTAAGAAGAAAAAAAGAGAGAGAGATGATAACAACGTGTATCAAGAGGAGTTTCAAACTGTACAATTAAAGACAGCATGAGGCATATCTTCCCATGACATGAACAGAAAAAAGAAATATACTATTTTTTCTCCTTCTTTCTTTCTTGCCTTTCATTGAACCATGACAAGACGTTTAATGATGTGGAAAATGAATAGTTTGTGCTCATGAGATTTATCATGAAAAAAAAAATTTCTCATAAATCATCGAACACAACTAATATTTAGTCAATTGATCTGATTGAATGAAAAAATAAAGAATAGATCTGTTGTATCTATTTATGATTAGAGAGTATGTATATATAAATATATTTATCTTAACTAATCGATTTGTCTGTAAGAACAGAGGAATATACATATAATTTACGCAATAACACTTTTCTTCGTTTTCTCTGTATATGTATATGTTATTGTTAGCCAGACTATGTCAAGATAATCGATAGAGCGGAATTGATGTCTCTCTGACAGCATCTGTCGTTCGATGCTCATCCGTCAATTGAACCCCTCTGACCAGACAATCTCATCTCTCAATTCTCAAATTTCATTAACTAAAAAAAAAGAAAAAGTGAAATTTGAATTCAGTAAACACACAAAAAAAGCGTATTAAATATCAACCAGATGCTTTTGACGTAATTCTTCATGTTTTTTTATTATAAATATTTATATTATTATTATTATTATTATAAATCAATTCTACAGATCATACAGTATTAATTATAAGGACAAAAAAAAGAATGGAGAGAGAGAAAAGAAAAGATCTCTATTTTATACATAAGTTCCTCGCGTTGATATAATTTGTTGATTAGCCTCTGTTAATAATGATAGATCAGTTTGTATTGAATGAAATAATTTATTAGTTAAATTATCCGTTGAGTGAGGTATCATTGTCGCACGTTTTGGAGAGAAAAGATACATATCCTTAAAATGAAAGAAAAACAAATGATTATTTGAAAAAAAAATACTATCAATTTAACTTACTGATGTTTCTACTGTTATATTATCAGATTTTTCTGAGCCATACAGTGATCCAGCTGATGATGTTTGTTCTGATGATGATGTCTGAATAATCTTTTGTTTCGTACTATTATCATCTGTAACTGTTGTCATTAAAGATGATGACTTTTTCTTTGATTCTCTTCGACAATAAATACAACTAAGTATTGTTGCAATAACAAATAATAAACCCATTAAACTTGCTATACTCATTATAATATATTCATGTTTAAACCATTGAAAAAAATCTTGTTGATTTAAACGTTTGATTTGTAAATATGCTAGATCATTACCTAAAATTGAACTTCTATAAAGACGTATTTTAACAATTGATGAAAAATTTTCCATATCCATATCATATGCTTCGATATCTAACCAAATTTCTCCATTTGATAAATAAAATAGACAATCATTATGTGTTTCATTAAATTCTGATGTACAATTTAATATTAATTGATTTGATATTAATGTTATCCATTGTGGCCATGATGTACTTTTTTTTCGATAACCAACATGTGAATTTTCATCATAATCAGTTGCATTTAATGTTAATACAATTGGTTCATTTAATTGTATATATAAATCTAAATCAATATTTAATATAGAAGAATTCCATATTGGTTTACAATCATTTATATCAGTTACAATAATTTGAAATTTTCGTTCAATATTTTCATTACGTAAATGAACATTATACGATGAACATTTTTCTCTATCATATATTCTATCAGTTAATAATGTAAATGAATTTTCAGTTAATTTTTGTAGAAAAAAACCTTCATGTGTAACAAGTAGTAGATTAGAATTCGATTTAATATATGCAATAAATGTTGCATTTGGTAAATTTTCTGATATATATACTTCCGAGAAATTTTTCGAGACATTATTTGAACCAAATGTTAGTTGTATTAATGATTGATTATCATTTAAAAGATCATTTTGAATATTAATATAAACAGTAGTTAATGCTGGTATAGCATTATGCGTCCCATCGGATGCACCAATAACTAATTTAAAGATATTTTTTGTATCAAGATGATTTAATTTTGATATAAGACTTAATTCACCTGTATAGGAATTTAATTGAAATAAATCATTTTTTTCATTTGTTTCAAGTTTATAACCATCAATACTTAATAATGAATAATATATATGTGCATTTTCCTCTGAATCAGCATCATAGGCAGTTAATTTTGTTAGAATTGTTCCAATAGGTGTTGAATAGGATATATTGACTGTATAAATTGTTTGTGAAAATTTTGGATTATGATCATTAACATCAAGAACTGTCAAGGTTAATTTTGTTGATGTTGTATATTTATAATCATTTGCTGTTATTGTAAATATATATTCACTTTGTAATTCACGATCAAGTGACATATTTATAATAAGATATAAATCTGAATTCATATCATACATTAAATAAAATGGTTGATTTGTTTGATTTTGTTTTTGTGGATGAAATAAATTTATTGATGATATAATAACACGATTATTATAAACATATGTTAGCTCATATAATTGTACACCATTTATTAAACAATCAATATCTTCAGCTTTGGATAAACGTATTTTCATTCCTGGCATATTATTTTCTGTTAATGATATTGAATATGTATTAGAACTAAATATAGGTTGATTATCATTAATATCATTGATTTGAAATTTTAATAATAATATATCATAATAGAACATATCATAGAGTTTAATAGTTAAATAACATTTGGAACATAGTTCATCATTTGGACATAATGTATCACGATCAATACGCTTTGATATTGATATTAAATTTGTTGTTGAATTAAAATATAATAATGATGAACTTTCTAATAATTGATAAGTTATTAATGATGATGATAAACTATTTAAATCAAATATAATTGTATTTATTGGAGTTTCTTCATTAATAGATATTTCATGTTCACGAGATTCGCTGAATCCAATAAGAAGAAGAAGGATGTAGAATAGTAGCATGATCATCTAGAAATAATGTTGAATGAATAGAGAGAAGAAAGAAAGAATGTTTTTCTCGCTTTCGCTTTTTTTTCTTCTTCTCTTCTTCTTCTTCTCCTTCTTCTTCCTCTACTTATTAACGCCCAATGGTCGAAAGAGAGAACTGAAAGAAGGAAAAAGGTGACAAACTACCTTCTTTCTCTTCCAACACTCATAGTCAACTTCTTGAATTGAAAAAGACAGAAAAAATAATTATCTTGGCACTGTAGGATGTCTGAATGATAAAATCAATGTTATACAAGTATAAGATGAAGTTCATTTTTTTTGCTGCTATTGTATATATGAACAATTAGATCAATCTCGGCCGTTCATTTCAAAATTAACACACGCGATCACACCTGTCATAATAGGAGAGCGAGAAAAGAAAATTTTTGTGGGAATTATCCTGGCGATGAATTAACTCCTATGATTAAATAGTTATCTACCAAGTAAAGTAGTCTCGAGAGTAAAAAAAGACACAGGCTTGGTCTAATAGTTGGACAGTGGTCATCTTTTGTCTCTATTCAGTTAATCACATTCCATTAGCTGTCTAATAGTATACGTATATATAACTCCTCCTATCGCTATAATACGTTACCTGTCTTTCTTTTTCCTCTTGTCTTCTACCGGCAATGATAATGATCATTGTAACATTACTGTCATCATTATCCTGTGGGTGTGGTGAAGACTATGTATAATTCGTTCTTTACTTCAGAGGAATGAATATAGGGTCACGACCTAGCAACTATCTTTTTTTAAACACTCTGTGAAGTGAGTTCAATAGCTAAATAGAATAAAAAGAAAACTATGAAGAAGAAAAAGCGGCTTACCATCAATTATTTGCTATTTGCTGAAATAATATGCAAACAAACAAACAAACAAACAAACATACAGACTTTTATCAGATAAGCATACATTTCTTCTCTTGAGAATCATATCTAAGATATAGAATTTAGTTTCTGTCTATCTATAACAAATCTTACATATATTTATATACATATATATATATATGTATGTATGGATATTTAGTTCGTCACCGAATCATACATATATATACATATGCTCAGTATGGTGCATATAGTAACTTCTAGGGTGTATAGTTAATGGAGATGTCATCGGTACTATGTTCTATGTTTGACAGCAGGCCGCCAAAGAGCAGTGTGTCAAATCAATTACAAATCGATCGAGACAAGCGCGTTTCTTGTAAGATTGCATCATTCTAGTGAACATTCTCTGAAGGTGATCGAGCTGTCCAACCGTTTTTCTTTCTATTCCATAACATTTATCCTTGTTTATCATTCTCAATGAGTAAACGCGTGTGTGTTATCCATCTGGATTTCATATACATACAAATATATACACCAACAAAATAGAAAATTGTGAAAAAATTTTGTTTTTACAAGCAACTGATACAATCTCCTTATCTAATGAGATCACAAATTGAAATTATTGAATATAGAATGAAGAATAACAATTACTGTATGAATATGAACCCCTCCTCATTTGTTTAACTATATTTTCTTTACACTATCAAATAAACAATAGTTAAGAATCGATACTTATCTTCTAGATAGATCGAATAAAAAAAACCTACTACGTGTCAACTTATACCTATGATAAGATCCAAGAAAATAAGAAAAGAAATGATGAATTTACATATATGACATCCAAGATGAGACAGAAAGGCTAAGACGGATGCGATCAATCGACGCGCTTGTGGTTCAATTTACCTGTACTAATACCATTGCTATGTATACAGACACTTGAGTAATTCGTCGGTGACCGGGAGAGACAAACGAGCTTACTTTGAATATGCTTCGTATTACTCTCAATCACAGCAGTGAGCTTTTTTAATCCAACCTTGTATGTGTGTCTATACATCTATCGACTCTGAATGAATAAATGTTTACAAACGTATATATATCGATTTACATCAATACACATACACAGGATGTTATCATGAGACTAGTGCTCGAAAAAAATGAAAATGAAGAAGAAGAAGAAGAAGAAAAAAAAATACTGATCACACATACGTTCTCATGTAAATGAGCTCTGGTTCATTTCAAATTTTCACTCACCCGTTTAGTACGTTAGTTTTTTGTTTCTGTATGAGTATGTCTATATAAAAGTTCAAAAAAATAAAATAATAATGACTGACACAATCCTTGGGACAATATATATTTAACGACGAGACTAATTTTTGAAAAAAAAGGCGTCTCCTTTGTCGTTATTGTTCATTGCACAATCAAAACTTCATTTCACGCAACTAGAAAATAGACAAAATATGTATGTACGAAAAGAAAGAAAAAAAAATTGTTCATTTATAAAATAGAGTATATATGTATATACGTACCCCCTAGTGAGTTTTCGATATCGTACAACAGAAATAATGATGAAAGGCTGCTAGTGAAGATCAAAGCATGACTTTAACTAGCTTGTTGCACACAATAATGATAATTGGTAATCGAATGAACACTACTGCTGCTGCTGATATAGAAAAGAGAGCGCGTGTGGTGATGATGTATATCTATTTCTTACAACGTTCAAAATCAATTATTATTTCGTTTCTGTTGATAGTCAAAAAAAAACAAAAAAAAAAGAATGTGCGTATCATCATCATCATCAATGATAACAAGGATTACACACCTGAGAAATCGTGCATGATGTGTTCTTTTCATCTGTCCGCATTTGTGATTGTTTAACTTCTCAATTGAAGTATATATATGTATATGTGTCGGCTGTCACTTGGTTGATTCATTGGAAGAGAGAGAGAGAGAAGCCTTTTTTCACACTCAATTGAAAAATGAATTATTGCACGTTATTCAATCTTGAACTGTTCAATTAAAAAGTAAATATCAACGTTCTTTTTTTTGTTTGTCATTTTGACAGTTCTACGATGGATGGAGGATGGACGACTCTCATTAGATTAAGGGCGGATTTTATTTAAAATGAAACAAAAAAAAGGGAAGAAACTCTAACAGATGTTATCAAGTTAAATAGAGAAGAAAATAAAATCATTTATCACACTATCACTAAAAAGATATCACACAAATGGTTCACATTTCTTTTTATTTTCATTTTTTTTCTCTATTATGTCGGTATGTATATGTATAATACACGCGATTGTATAGTTAAAAAGAGAATCAATGTGATTGTATGTGACAAGTTTGATGAAGAATTTGCATGTATTGTATACGTTAGAAGTCAAATCGATTTACTAACTGAATATATCATTCATTTTTTTCGTTGTTAAACTTGTATCTTGGGACAAGATATATCATGCATTTAATATCGTCTATCGTTAAAGTTAATTGAATAGATAAAAATGATATTGAAACCATTTTGAACATTTTTTCGTATGGAAATTATTTTTCATGATGAAGATATTAATCATATTTATATCATTTGAATAGAGATAGAGTCTATAAATAATTCATAACGGACACGTCTAATCAAAATATTTATGAACAGAAAAAAAAAAGATAATATTTTCATATAATCTGTATTAATGAGAAATAATTAGATGGATAAAAAAATTTTCATATTAATTCATTCAAGGATAAATTGTATTTTTTATTCGTTTAGCTAATGTAGGAAACTAACCTTCATCATTGCATTTATTACATCAAATACAATGTGACAAGACATATATGAAATAGAAAATTATTAAATTATACACTTTCAATTTAATTTTGTCAATAGAATTATGGTTTTTATTAAGCTTTCTACCAGAAAAATGCTCAATAGAATTCAAAAAATCAAGTTTTTACTATAAAATTTTTTGACAGAAAGTCAAATTTGACAAGAAACTTCTTTTTCCGATCAAGGCGTTTATAATTTCACAGTATACCATTGACATGTCATTCAAAAAACTCTATCATATTTATGTAAATCCAGAATTGTCCTTGTTTCTAAACATCATAAGAAAAGAAGTCCTTCAAAATTATATTCTCCATATCTATATTTTTATTTAAATACACATACATAGATGTCTATTTAATCATTCAATTTAATTTCACTGCATTTTAAAGAACATATATATATATAAAACTCTGCACGAAGCAATCATATTATCACAAACAAGCCTAGTCTATCTAAATCAACATGATGATCTCGCGTCAAAAGAACAAGTCGATGATCTATTAGAATCAGTTGTTTGTTGTTGTTGTTTTGATAATCTTCTTATTATTAAATTTGAAGTATGATTATGATGTAAATCTAAACTTGGAGTTCCTAATTCATCTAATTCAATAAGTTCATCAATTTGAGCTCGTTCAAGTATTGGTTCACGACATTCTCGTTCATATCGACGTTTGTCAACATTAGATCGAAAACCTTTTAAACCCATTCGACCTAAATAAATTTCACGTTGACGTCGAATTGTTGATGATATTGGATGATAATCTTTCGGACGATCTTTTCTCATATCATTTGGTCCATCTGTTTCTGCATTTGCTGCTGGTACATCAAGTGTACCGAGAAAATATTTTGTAAGACCATCAAGTATATCAACACAATGCATAAGATCATTTGCACATATTGGTAAATCCATAGCAACAAGTAATAATTGATTGGGTTTTGGAATCTGTAGTGGTGCTTCAAGACCATCAACAAAATCTGATAATTGATCATATCGTATAAATTGTGAACCAGATGGATCTAAATATTGCCATTTTTCATAATACATATCATAATCATCATCAGTTAAACCCTATAAATAAATAATACAATTGATTGCAAAAAAGAAAAACTCCGCTTTTACTTGTTGTACATCTTCTTGAGCTTGTGAAAAATTTTCTAAAATTACGGCAATATACATGTTAACCTAAATGATCATAGAATAAGATGAAGAAATAAAAAAAAAACAAAGGTCTTTAAATACATACCACAACAAGTGAACTAATTATTAAATAACTAACAAGAAATGGTATTGCAATAGCTGTTAATCCGCAATCACCTCTACTCGATGGAGATTTTATATATGGATCACAATCTGGTGGTTTATCATTTGTTAACGCTTGTAAAACACCAGACCAACCAGCAGTAGTACACATTTGAAAAAGTACAATCATTGAATTAGGAAATGTTTCAAAATTAAATAAATCTGTTACACCAGCTGACTTTCGTACATATGCAAAGAACGACATACCAAATATTGCATAGATAAACATGACAAGAAATAATAGAAGACCAATATTAAATAAAGCAGGCATTGAAACAGCTAATGCGAAAAGTAATGTTCGAATACCTTTAGCTCCTAAAGACATATAAAAATTAAATCATTGATATAAAAATTCTAGTAAACCTTTAACAAGACGTAGGACTCGCCCAACACGTGCTACACGAACAACACGTAATAATGTTGGATTAACAAAAAATTTTGCCATAAGTTCTCCTAATACTTGTCCTAAATGATATTAAAAAAAATCGACTTAATTATATAAATTATTTAGAAATACTCATACCAAGAATGGATGCAATAACAATGACAAAATCGAATACATTCCATGGAATAGTAAAATATTTAAAATTTAATGCAATTAATTTCATACCACACTCAACAGTAAATCTAAATTAATTCTTTAGAATTAAACTTGTATTATCGATGATTTACTTACATGGCAACGAAAAAATTATTAATATATCCAAGAACATGATCATAAGTGTCACTTTGATTATGATGTTCAAGACACATACAAAGCATATTAAGAAAAATACATATCATTATAAATATATCGAATTTTTGATTTGTAGTTAAATCAAAAAAGAATCTTGCTAGAGCAAACTAAAATAAAAACTTCGATTAGAAAAATTAAATATAGGATAAAACTAACTCGTGGTCTTGGTAATGCTTTTGTTGGTTTTTTTGTGCCCATTTTTTTCATAGCGTTATAATATTTTTTCTGATCATCTGTCATAAACATTTCAATTGAACCGCCACCTCCTAACTGTAAAAAACAAAAACAAACATTTTCTTTTCATTTAGAATGTTTTTTTTTGAAAACTTAATATTCGTTTTTGTGTATTGAAATTATCAATAACGACACCAATAAATAAATTTAGTGTAAAAAATGAACCAAATATAATAAATATAACAAAATAAGTAAGAATATAAACATTCCATTCAGTTTCTGGTTGAACATCGATCTAGAATATTAGATTTAGGAAAAAAGAAAACGAAAAATAATTATATACGTCTTTAGCATCAGCTGCATCAGCCATTATTTCAATCCATCCTTTGAAAGTTGCCTTAATAAGTAAAAAAAACGTTTTTTACTCTAGTTCTCCTTCATGAACACAATTCAAATACTTACAACTTGAAATAGTGCTAAATAACCATTAATAACATTATCAAAATTAACTCTTGAATTTTCCCATGTAAAATTTTTAGTTAAACAATCAATTTTAGTTGTAACATTCTCAGTTAAATTAACACGATCATGTGTATCAACATATACACATTTATAAAATTTACCACCAAATAATTGTACACCCATGATTGAAAATATTAGCCAAAATACGAGACAAACAAGTAAAACATTAAAAATTGATGGAATAGCTCCAATTAACGCATTAACAACAACCTATTTAAAACAATATATTATACGAAATAAAATAATCAATAGATATTATCTTACTCTCATTCCTTCAAATCTTGAAAGTGCTTTTAATGGACGTAAAGCTCTTAATGTTCTCATTGATTTAAATGCTGGAATATCAGCTACACCAAGCCAATCAAGAAGAACACCAAGAACACTAACAATTACAATAACAAAATCTAACCAATTCCATCCATTGGTAAAATATTTTGTTATTCCATACGCAAACCATTTTAATATTAATTCAACAGTAAAAATAATTGTAAAAATTTTATCAAGTACAACTAAAATTTTATGAAATATGGGTTGTTGACGAGTATTTATATCTTCTAAAGCCTGTTCAAAGAAAAAGAAGAAGAAGAATTAAATATTTCATTATAATTCTTATCTTACCAAAGTTGTACTACTTGCTAATATACTTGCAATAATAAGTCGTTCGAAAAAACGATGTTCAACAAGACGATGAGCTTTACTACGTAATAATTTCCATTTTCGTTGAACACATTTTGGAATACATAGAGAACAACAAGAACAATGTTTCGAAATTATTTTCGGAAAACAATCTGGTGGTGTTATATGATGATTTTGTTCGGCTAATTGTGTTAATAATGTATTAGAATGACTATTTATCAATTGCATTTCAATATCTTCATTTATTTTCATTGAATTATTAGTTAAAAACAATGAACCATTTGATTTATCTTGTTCAAGTGTTGTTATTGATGCAGGGACAATGGATTGTAATCGTTTTTTAGTAGACGAAGGAGACTAAAGAAATTTGAATTAAATAGAAAATATATATAAATACTAAAACAAACTCGATTATAGAATAAATTTTCATCAGTAATGTTTGCAATAGGTCTCATTCTTTCTTGTTCTTGTCTTTTACGACAAAATAAATGAACTATAGAGTTAACTATAAAACGAAACAATCGTTGAATACGTTCTATAGCTTCACCAATTTTATTATCATCATCATCATTTCCCCCTTCGCGAAGAACATTTGAACCAAATGATGCAAGTAAAAGAGCCAAAAATAAATTTAATACCTATTTAAATAGAAAATATGAAGATTTTTAGGTCAACGATATGTAACATTCATCTCTAAGAATATATATATACCACAAGATTTCCCATGACATATGTAAATAGAAAAAATGGATAACATGGCCATCCAGCACATTCAAGACATATCCACATTGATTCAATCCATTCACCACATAGTACACGAAAAACAATCCTTTGAAAAAATAAAAGAATTTTATTTTCAACAATCGATATCCACTTACATAAATGCATGAAAAAAGTCACAGAAATTCCATCTTGGCACATCTTTACCATATTTTTCTGTATATTTTTGTCCAAATAACTAAAATTCATTGTATATATATATAAATTCGTTTATTATTTATTTTTAATTTTACCTGCATGCCCATAACAGCAAAAATAAATATAATAATAACAAGAACAAATGTTAAATTTCCTAGAGCTCCTATTGTTTTACCAATAATTGACATAAGACGATTTAATGTTGGCCAAGATTTAGCTAATTTAAATACACGTAACTAAAATAAAATAAAATAGATATTTTAAAAATTAATTTTCTAACTTACTAAACGGAATGAACGTAAAACACTTAAACCTTTTATATTCGCAAGACCTAATTCAACAAGACTAAGTGTAACAATAAATAAATCGAATACATTCCATCCATCTTTTAAATATTTAACTGGTGCCATAGCAATTATTTTAAGTAAAGCTTCTGTTGTAAATATAGCCGTAAAAATATAATTTCCTGTAGCTAATATTCGTGTCATTCTATCACTTAAACCATGTTGATCAAGTGCCATAAATAATGTATTTAAAACAATACATATTGTTATAAATAAATCAACAAATGCATCCAATATAAAAACAGCAACAGCTTCCTAAAAAAATAAAAGAAATAAGTTTACTAGAAAATAATTAAAATCTTTTGTGTGAGTACATAATGATTATCTAGCGAGTTAAATAGTCACTCAGTTAGAAATGTCTTGGGATTTCAATAGAAATTTATGAATTCTTTAATTAAGCTAAGGAATTTCTAATGTCTGATGAAAACTTACTTGAAATTTTTTAAATCCTGCTATTTGACAATCCCATTCGTAACAATAAATTCGTAGAAGTTTAACCAATGGTCGATCACATGCATTGGTTGTATCCATATCTGAAATGACGATGTTCGTACGATTTTTATGATTATACTGTAATTGCCGTTCATGCTCATTCATATTCAAACAAGCACCATACTCAATGAATGTCCTGTTTTGGTCATCGATATAACGATCGACCTTGTACAGTTCGGTAAAATATTCTAGATAATCAATCAAAAGACATGCATATACAAAGCAACAAACATGCATTAAAACAAAGTCAATAGATAAAAATCATACGTGGATCTTTTTTTGATGTTGGTTTTCAAAGGAAAAGGGTTAAAAGGTATAGGAAAAGAAAATAATATATTTTGTTAAATTTGTTTTTTTTAAATATCAATAAATAGACTAATAATTACTGAATTCTACTTGAACAAGACGATCAAAATAATATGTTAGTGAACTCTATGGGGATTTCTATTTCAGTTCAACTTACTTTCTGATCGTGTACTTGTTGCGTCCAACTCTGTAGGAGCTAAAACTTCAGTAATTGGACCATATTTTATATGAGGTTTTGGTTGATAAAGCTTTAAAATATAATAAAGAAAAAAATATTCCTGTATTAGTTTTATTTACTGTAACAGTTGAATCATTATCTCGTTTACTACGATCTATAAACGATACATTTCTTGTTCGTTGACTTTTTCTATCTTCTCTGATAGAATTATGTTGTGATTCATCCAAAAATGGTATTGTTATATCATCATTTGTTGTTGGATTCGAATAAACTGCACTTGTATTATCAAATTGAAATACTAATGGTAATGGTTGAAGTGATTGTTTATCGTGTAATTTATTTTTCTAAAGAAAATTTTTTTTTATAATAAAAAAAGACGTTTTGGAAGTTTCTTACCTTTTGATTTTGTTCATATACAGTTGCAAAACTTGAACATGATATTTTACGATTTGAATTTTCAAAAACTAATGCATTATCAGGATATTGTACATGATCCGTATGTAAGAATCCGATTGATAGTGATGCTTTATGTGCTAGTTCATTTTGTTGTTCAAGTTCATCTGCAACTTTACGTCTTTCACGTTCTTCATTTTCTGCATGAACTTTTTTTTGTTGTTCTTGATAAGACATTGAAACAATAGCTAAGATTAAATTAACCAAATAAAATGAACCAAAAAATATAACAGCAACAAAATATAGAAAATGATAACGACCAGCTGCTGTCAGCACCTAAATAACAGAAGATTTTTGAAAAATTCTATTTGCCTTTTTTGTTTTTACCAATTGATAAAGATTTTCCCAATAATCTTGTGTCATCAATCGAAAACATGAAAGCATTGCCCAACCATAACTATCAAAACTATATTTAAAAAACGTTACAAAAACAGAATTAAATACATATATCATAAATTTACCTTGTATATCCAAAATCCGGGCTAAAAATAATAAAAGTTTATCAAATAAATTGCAATTAAAATTAAAAATTTACTTTTCGCCTCGATCTTTCCAACAAACATAACCCTGCGGACATTTTCTACTTCCACTTGAATTGCCACAAAGAACAAAAACTTCATCTTCTCGATACCAATAACCTATACACATAAGTATTGCAGTTTTATTAAAAAAAAGGCAACAAGCTCATTCAAAACTTACTTTCATTATCAACTTCTTTAGCATATAATTCAAACGACATATTATATGCAATATTAGTTATATTAGAATTATTAAAAAATGATTCATAAGTAGGTACACACTTTTGTCGAAGAACACCCATATAAAGTTGTAATCCTACCTAATTAAAATAATCACAAAGAAGAAATTTGATTAAAGAAAAATTTGTCTGTAAATTCAAACCAATGCAAATATAGAAAGAATAAAACTTGATAGAACAGTTACATCTCGTAGACAAATAAGAGATTGTATTAATGCATCAACAATAGTTTTTAATCCTAGAAGCAAAAATGAAATAATTCTTAATTTATAAATATCAAATGTGATTTACCAGGAACGACAGCAACAGTTTTTAAAGCTCTTAATACACGAAATGTTCGAAGAACTGAAACATTTCCCAAATTGACAAAAAATGTTATGTATCTAAATTCATTAAACTCTCTTCATATATGTAAATTTTGAAGACAAAGAAAACATACGCAAGTGTAATGACAATAAAATCTAGCCAATTCCATGGATCACGTAAAAATGTAAATTTTTTAAGAATAAATCCTCGTGCGACACATTTTGTCAATGCTTCAAGGGTATAAATTATTGTAAAAACATATCTATTGAATTAAATTAAAAAGATTACGCAAAAAAAAGAAATTTTTTTATCATACTCATTTGTTTCCGGTACATTTTTAAGTGTCATAAATATACAATTAGTTAAAATAGTAAGCATAACAAATGTACTAAAAAGTGAATGTGTTAATATACGTATAGCTAAACGTCGAAAACAATTAAATGGAGAAAATATAAAACAAGCTGGTGTAGAACTAAATCGAAATATTGTTTTATTTCGATTAACAACTACAAATACCTAAAAATGAATAATCGAAAAACAAAATAAAATGTAAATTATTCTTAAAGAATACATACATATTCAGTACGATAATACCAATCAATTTCTTCAATGGGTTTGCCAATAAGTTCGGCAGGAAATTTTGTTTGTAGTACACGTGGTAATGTTTGTCCAACAGCCAGTTCTTTATTAGGCTTTTGTTTTGGATGAGGTGGGTCGTATTTGGGTGGTTTTCCTGTTGAATGATGTTGATCACTATCATCTTCATGGATTGTTTGACGTTGTAATCGTTCGGATGCAATACGTTCAGCTTCCTCTTGACGATAACGTTCAATTCGACGTAATGATTCGTGTGTAAACTCGCGAAAAACAATCGAGTTGTAATCCATTTTTAATATCAATACTTACAACTACTTTTTCATACATATTCTATTTAATAAAACTAAAGAAGAATGACAAATGAATTTTTGTAGTTTGACTTGAATATTAAAAACTAGATAAATATAAATAATATTTGAAATTTTTCTATTAAATATACGAAACTTACAGTAATGTTGCATTTGGTATAGTAACATTGAACAATCAATGAAAATAAGAATACATAGTCGTTATTTGTGCAATTAAGATAAAACACGCAATGAGTCAAAGAATAAAACTATTAAAAGATAATTGTTAATCTATCTTTTTTTACAGTAATAGTCGTGCGTTAACAAATTAAATCGATTGATTTTTTTCGACAAGAAAAACGTTATATATCACGCAGCAATAAAAAAATGACTTCTTCATATATTGCCCATTTAATATCATCATTTCTTTTTTTTTTTCTTTTCTTATTTTTTTCTCAGATCTTTTTGAACAATTATTATGTGTAGAGCGAGAAAAGAGAGAAAAGCAAAGACTTCAGGGAATATAGTTTCTCAATGTTTCTTTAAGCATTTGACAATCGGATGCTAGAATATCGATCTGTTCTTCTTATTCTTATTCTTCTTCTTCGTCGTCTTTTGTCTTCTCTTTCTTTTTTATTAGTATTGCAGTTTATCACATTGAAAATTTTGTACTAATCTCTAATCGTCATTGAGACTTTCTATGGAAATCTTCTAGACTGACTATTGAACATGTCTTATTAGTTTAATATTAATGTTTGTTACATTTGTTAATATTCATCTAGTTTTTTTCTTTTGTTTTTTGTTGATAGGGTCATCATCCTCTTCAGACATCAATGAGGGAAAGCAAAAGGGTTCTTATTGTTTTTTTTGTTTCTTGGCCTAAAAAAAAAAGAAGACAGAAAGAAGAGATAGTAATAGTGTAAGTGAAGAAGAAATACAAAGAGTAACAATCGAACAGTCACGCATATGACTTCGGATGATGAAGAAATGAACAATATTGTATTCCGAAATCAGATTTCTTTGTTGATTAGCATAACTAATAAAATGCGTTGAATAATGGAAAAAAGCGAAAAAAAATATGACGAGCTTGTTATTTAGCTTAATATCAAGTTCACATCATTCACTCATTTGCTGTCAATCAAGAATAATCAAACAACAAAATAATATTACGAATAAATCAACATGTTGAATTGAGAGAATAACAAAAAACCACATTTCTTTTTTTCTATTTTGACTGAAAATAGGTTAATCAATTGATGTTTAAACGAATTATCTATTTAGAGGAATTTCTTATTCTAATTCATAATTTAATTCAAATCCCAATTCTCAATTGCTTTTCAACTAGATTATTTCATTAAAAAATTATTGTAAGAAAGAAAACAATAATTACAACTAACTTATGCGTGATCAAATATTAAATAAATAGCGATTTATTTATCAATCAAAAGATTCTATTAATTTATATACATTGATGAACTATGTAGGAAAGTGTTTAACATGCATGTCTTAAAATCTCTCTGGAGAGATAAAATTCTATTGCATGTTAATTAATATTTTGTGATCTACAAATAAAAAAAAAGGTCATATATGTATTTAATTTGTTGTTTTGTTCTTCAGTTAGAAGATATTCGCTTTAATTCTAGATTAACTTCAATATTAATATTTTATGATAATATATAGTCATTTCTTTTGGGAATATAGAATTCAATAGATGTTTATTTATAAATACATCATAAGAGAATACATCTTTCTTTGAGTTAATTTTCAAAATTATATTTAACGTATGAAATTATATACTATTTTGACTAATTTTAGTCAATAGGTATATCATTTGTTTTAACTTATTTCTTATACAAATAAAATCAGTCGGCTTTATTCTTGAATGCCATTCATTCATACTTTTTTCTTTTTATATAGCACAGTGATGCCTTGAATGAAAAGAATATATATATATATATATATATATACTATGCAAACACGTCTGTTATTGCCACCATCAATATCCACTTATTTCAATACGATCACTCTGTATTTTACGTATGGTTGCGACTCAAGTACGCAACAAAATTATGATTAAGTCAATATATTCAATACATTATGATATATAAAGCCTCAATCTCTAGTTTAAATTCAATCATTCATTCATTCATTTTCTACTAATCATTCGATATAATTAAATTACTAATATATATTTTATATGGCAGAAAGGTATGTGAATTGATTATTGAGTAAAAAGAAAGAATTCAATTATCGCTTTTACTGATTAAGACAGGAAATCTATCATATAGGATCAATTCATTGTTCAGACATATAAAAGTCATGATAAATAAAGGTAATTTATATGCGAAAAAAATTGAATGATGTACAGATTCACAAAAAAATCTTTTTCTATTGGATTACCTAATCATTACATTGTATTTAATGTATAGACACTTCTCTTGTATATGTATATTTATATCTTTCTTTCTATAAATGTAGGGTTGATTTGCAAACAAATAGAAGCTGTAAAGATGATAGTCATGTAGAGTGGATGTCAAATATTCACATAGACGGTGATGGCATCGCTCTTTTAATTGGATGTAACTACTTTCGTGTGTATATGCTTTCGCTTATTGAAGACTAAGAGAATATTTACGATAAAAAAAAACAGAAGGAGACAATTCCTCTCAACAATTTTATATATATATTTATGTGTATATGTATTCTGCTTGCGGCTTCTCATACGTCGTCTAATTGATGACTGTGTATTGAAAGTTGTCCATAATCATCATCAATATTCATACCTCGAGACAGTTGTTGCATCGCAGCGACCTATAACAAACTTCTTTTTTCTTTCTCTTTTTTTTATCGAACATTAAATGAGAAAGTGCCAGAGTATAAGTGAGATGCCATATTGAGTCAGTACTATTTCTAGAATAGAGTTTGTCATGGGGAAGCCGAATTGTGATAACAGGTATACTTAAGGACTTTTTTTATAACTAAAAGATACTATTTATTATTTTATTAGGCAATTTATTGATCGTACATCTTCACCACCACCGTCAATTTTATCACCACCACCAACAGATTCTGATATAAATTGGCATTCAACATTAAGTCAATCGGATCCAAGTATTCAATCACGTCAAAATCAGTTTCCGAATCGTGTACCACCAACGGGTTTTAATTCCGCTTCATATAAAGTTTCAATTGGGCATGAAACAGTTAATATAACAGAACTTGCACGTCATCGTGAACCATCACCTGATCCAACAACGACTATAGCATCGACTGAACGGCGTCGTATTGTTACAACACAAAAAGGTGCTAATATTCTTAGTTTATGCTTTATGTGTTTTGTTTCCGCTTCTCTTATACTTATTGCGATGTCGGCAATGCATTTATTAATCAAAACAAATTATAATTATAACAATAATAATATGATTCCATTTTTTCTTCAATCAGTCAATATTACACCAGGTTTTTTATATATGTTTTCAACATCAAATCCCTTATCTCATTCAGTATCACATCTTATTGTTCCAGTTTATGATCATACTATACGTGACTTAGCTACTGTTATATGTTTATTGATAATAGTACTCAACTGTTTCAGTCTATTAGTATTCAGTATTGAAATTTATCTTGGTTGTAATATTGTGATAACAAAACATCATTCATATCAGTAATAATCATAATAATATATTCTTTTATTTAAATCAATTTATTTATTTATTATAGAAATATTCGTGTACTTTTTAGTTCTTCAAATTCACGTTTTATTGCTATATGTGGTTTTTATGCATCAATTCCAGCGTTAATACTTGGTAATAATTATATAAAAAAAAATTTTCTTTGTTAAATATTTTTTCATTATTTAGTCATGTGTTTATTTATTTTATTAAATATGTCATTAATACCAGCTATTATTTCATTAATTATTCTTGGTTTAGGTCTTATATTTATTCTTATTACTTTATTAACATATTTTTCAACAATGAAAAATAATAATTTTTCATCAATAAATGGTATGAATTCATCTATGTATCATACAATTGCTTCTAATCCTTTAAATGACGATGATATTGATTTAGCAAAAGCTGATGAACTTTCAACACTTGTATAGAAAATTCATTTTAGACCTAGAATATTAATATTAAGAACAGAAAAAAAGTTCTTTTTTTTCTAATTAATAACAATAAAATAATTATATATCATATTTCTGTCTTTTAATAGATGATTCTAGTAATTTTCATTTATAATTATCTGACAAAAATAAATATGCACTTGTTTGTACCCGTTATTTGTCGAGACGATGATATTGCGAAGTTTTTTTTCTAAATGACGAATATAGATAACATTTTTTTAAATGATAAGAATAATATTTACCGCACTGATATAACCAACTGAATATCATACTACAAGAAAAAATACGTAATAGATTTATTGTTATGAATATACAAAATTAAGTTTTTCCTTTGTTTGAAAATGTTAGACTATAGTGCAAATAGTATTCTACAAAAAGAAAGGCAGTGATAGAATGTAGGTACCCGTTTAGTGGAATTTTACGGATAGTGTTCGATCGGAAACGAATCTAAAACTACCGCATTCATTTCTGTGATTGAAGCATTGAATTGGATCCAGTAATTTTCTATAAAAATGTAGAAAGAAGTCGAAATCAAAGAAAAAATTCTTTATAAACTTCTGTAGTATTATCCGAGAAAGAATTTATATAGTCTTCTTTCGATAAGAATTTACTTTGTCACAATTTCACTTCACTTTACAAATTTCTGTGATACAATAAGTAGTTGTGTCATTGTGAAACTTATCTTTAGACTTTTATAGACATGAGATAAGAAAAATTCTTGACACATTTAAAACACCTTTTTTTTTACGTCTGTCGACATAGAATTATCGAAAAATTGACGAATGAAATGAATCATAATAAAAAAATCGATATTACTAACATATGGTTTGTTTTGTTGAAATCGTGAGCAACGAACACGAAAAATATTAATTCGATAATACGCAAGACAGATAGAACATAGAAGAAGAAGAAAGAAAGAAAGAGAAAAAAAGAAGTACATAAAGCCAAACAGCTATGCATCAGAACAGGAATAATAACAATAACAACAATATGAAATTGATACTGTTTCACGCCGTAGTTCTTTTTTTTCTTTTACCAAACTCGACACACGAAACAACAGTAATTACATATATAAAGACATATAGAGACAATGAGTGAGATAATTTTTGAGATCATCGTTCGCTCAATTACTCTAAAAGCAAAACAAAAAAAAGAAAAGAAGACGAAGAAGAAGAAGAAAAAAAAGAACGAAAAGCACTGTTATCGTGTACAAAAAAAAAGCAAGATTTAAAGAAACATGAAAAGAAAAAAGAAAAACAAGAAATTTCCATATAATATCAGGATTTTGATGGATTATGAAATAGTTTCGAAAAGAATTTTTGTGTTATTGTCCTAATAGGTGTTCGAGATGTTGATTGATTTATCAATGATTGAGATGAATTTGATAAAGGATTTATTTGTTGTTCATCTGTTTTTGTACTTTCAGATGATTCTGTTGTTGTCGTTTCTGTTGTTGATAGACAAGCTATTGAATGTGGTCGTAATGAACAAAGTACTGGAGATGAATTTATAGATGATGAAGAAGATTTTCTATGATAATAAAATCTTGTTATAGATGGACCAGTTGTATATGAATGATCACGATCAATAGATGGATCAATATCATTAACTGTTTTATTTGGTGGAACTATAAATGTTCTTTGATGTTGTTGTTCAGTAGATATTTGTTGTCTTTTAGATGAATTTTTTCTTTTCGATAGAGATGTTTGATTTTCATGTGATGATGATGTTAATATAGTCGTATTAGTTACACGATTTGTCTTAGAATATTTATCGAATATAGGATATGAACGTGGAATTCGTTCACCATCATGACTACGACGAACATGAACTGGATATTGTACATTTTCATTATGATAACCATGTGCTATAAGACCATATTCTTTAACTTGTTGCATTTTAAGATCAAGTTCACGTATTAATGCTTTTGACATTATTAATTTATCAATATGAATAGATGAAGAACAACGACGAACTAAAAAATAAAAACAAAAAATATTTAATTTAATTTTTCTTTTATTTCTAATATATAAATAGAATAGCTTATAAATACTCTTAATTGTATAAATGTCTTGAATTAGAAAAAATTTTATATTTTTATATGATTTTATTTTTGTATTTATGTCACGTATAAAAAACTTTAATATTTATTCCAGCTAATTGTATTCCTTCTTTTCACTTTATTATTAAAAAAGGAAAAAGGTATGGGGGCAACTGAGCGAAAGCCTTTTCTTCGAAATTTTTTTGGCGAAAAACAATTCCACGAAGTGATTTTTCTCGGTGATGGTATGAGCGAAAGGTGTTTCGCAGTTGTGACTTTCCTACATTTTCTTCGCTGAAAAACCCGCTCGCAGATATGATTTACGCTCAACAAATCTTAAAAAAGTCATTTTTTTCGATTTTAATTGAAGTCATTAGATCGATTTATTCAAATATAAATAAAAAAGTCGTTTTCCCCCGCAATATATTACTCATATAATATGAGAAAAACAAAAATTTGCACGCTATTAAACATTGTTTTTGATATTATATGATTCTTACGAAAATAAATATCGTTTATGAAAAATATTCGGTCACGTCTATCACTGTATGACAAATGTACTGTCACGTCTGTCACAAAATGTAACATATAACCAAGTTTCCTGTTCACACCTATATTTTAAACAAATATTAAACCATAATATCTATTATGAAATAACATGCCATATTCAAACCTATAAGAATCATTCTTTATTAGTAACAAAAAAAATAAATGTTAAATTTCTCAAGTATTTATATACTTATGAAATTACGATATAAACTGGAAGAGAAAAGAAATAAATCGACGATTCTCAATTTCAAATAATATTGTATAATCGAATTATGAAATTTTTTATGAACATAGATACGTATATTTTGACATTAAAAGGTTTCTTTCATATGTTTATGGTTTCTGAATATAAACATAAAATTGAAATAGTCAAATGTCTGCTTTTTTTCTTATTATTATGTATGAGTTATCTAACATATGAAGAGTAAATATTCTTCGATGAAATTATTATCATATCATACATCTTAATATATTTAATTGCATATGTATGATTCATAAAAAGGAAAACAAAGTGTAGACAGTATATTTATAGTATTGTATCTATTGTGCCTAGAAGTTTCTATATTTAACAGTAAGCAGGAAGTAATTTAAATACGCACGTGTTAATAAATTTGCTTGACGACGCTGACGTTTTAATAAATAATATGATGTTGATGATCGATGTTTGGCGAGCAATGTTCCAATTGCAGTCATACCGATAACACAAGAAACAGCAACGTCAACAATGAACACGAAATTCCTTTTGAAAAACGATTAAACATCGACTAGGTTGAAAATTGATTTTTTTCGGGTTTATATTTAATTTGTTTTTGTTTTTTTGTTGTTTCGTTATTTTTTTTTTCGAATAAAAGCAAATGTTAAAGAAGATAATGAAAAACTTTTTTTACATGCTCAAAAACAAACATCGACTTTATCCGATGATCTAAAATAGAAACAGAATTATTTAAAAAATAAAGTTAAATATCTCGAATTTCATGTATTATAACATAAATCGTTTCGTTTAAAAAGTCGCAGGTATAATATAATTTTTAATTGTTACGATAGAAAAGAAGAAGGCGGTTTGAAATTAACATAAACTCTCCTCATATTTAATTTTACTTTTTTCGTATTCTATTAATTAACATAACTAATCAATAGAAATACACTTAAAAAAATTGTCTACACATACTTTTGAACCTACACTAGACAGACACATATAGATATATGAGACTAGATGCAAACATTTTTCTCATCGTTCTTTTCTATCTTTTTTTTCAATTAATATGTCAGACGGACGGAAATTAATGCTTTCACTTCAATTTTACTTTCTATTGTGTCCATCTATTTTGACTAACAAGAAATAAACATAGATTACTGGAAAAATATTGCAAATAATAATACATAATTAAATAAATATTCATATTTATTATCTTTTTTCCACTCAAACGTACTTCTAGTCTAACTTACATTATGTTTTTGGCAATAGTTATAGTGGTTTAGTTACTATAACACTAAACGAGGCAAGTGACTATGGGCAACAGCGAACACGACGAGACGAGTGACAAAACGGGAGAAGCAAACAACATACAGCTACATAGACAGACAGTCGACGAGCAGACGTATTTTTATTTTCTTCATTCTCTTCTCTTTACCGACGTTTGTTCGCTTTCTTTCCCTCGCTCTCTGTCTAGCCGTCTCCGCCGGTCTTTTTTTTTCATGTACTGTGTGTCTGATTCTCTTGATTTTTTTCTCTCCATTTCTCCTGTTTCGTGTCTGTCTGCTTTGTGTGTGTCTTGTGATGATATAATGTGTAATCATCATCATCATCTTTCTCATTCGATGCACTGCTGAGTATGTCTCGTCGTGTCTATTTCCGTTATCGCTAAAATACACCAGACAGAAGCCAACACAATCGACTTCAGTTATAGTTAAATGAATGATCAGAGCAATTTAAAATGAAAATATGAAAAAAAAAATAAAAAGAAAGAGCGAAGCTGTCTGATCCCGACAACACAGCAGGAGAAAGAAGAGGGTGATGCCGATAAAATAAAATGATAAGCGATAGCAATGCAAATAGAAAGAAAAAGAAGAAGAAAACGAATATAATTCTTTTATCATACGTAATATATATATATATATGTATATAAACCGATTTCGATGAATCTTGAAAAAATTTTTATCTCATCTATATATCTCAATCTAATAAATAATGATTGATTTTCTTTTTTTGCAGTCTTCTATAATTAGACAGGATAATAACCAACGAATTTCGGCAAATAAATTGGAATAGAAAAAACAGTATTTTTTGTTTATATAGAATTGGAAACAGAAAATATAGGTCATCATGATCTCTAGACATGCTTAAATCTTTCCAGATGAAAAAGAGAAGGGAAGAGAAGAGAATAAAAACAAGAGAATGTAAAGACACAATGTGAGATTGTTGACTTGTCAGATTTTTATTCGTGCTAAAGCGAAAAGAAAGGAATCGATTAGAGAAAAAAAATACCATTTCTTTCAATCATAATATTCAATAATAGATTTGATTTCTATTTATTTTTCTCAAGTATTTTTTTTATGAAAAAAAAACTTTACTCAATAATTGAAAAAGTAATGAAATTAAATTAATACATTTTCTTTTCTTATGATGATTTTTAAAATCAGATAGCAAAGCAAAAGATTGAATTTATTTTGTCTAATCAAAGATTTCTATCAATAAAATCATATCATTACCTTTTCTCTTATAATACATAGAAATTTAATCAAAAACATTTATATATAACACTAACCTTAAATATAGAGATGAAATATATTGACTAAAGTCTTAACTTGAGATGTTATGTAAGCTGATGAAAGACACATAAATATAAAGATAAAGTTTTGTTTTCTATATGATTCACAAACAATGTTCTCAATGTTATATTATCTTACAAATAAAAAAATACATTAATAATAATAGTTATATTGTCTACGAAACGTGACAAATAATATGTAACTCAATAAAGAATAGTAGGCGGAAGTTAAGAAAAAAAGAGCATTTCCAACTACATAATACAGAAATGCACTCCGTCAAAACATTTTTTTTCAGATACTCATGCCAAGGGCATCGTCTTTATTCTCAACCAACTGCATACACTTCTTCCTTATTTACATGACACTTGAATTCTTTTTTTGTCTACCATCTATCTACATATATATACAGAAAGACTAGCACGCAAATTTCTAAACATCATATGATGCACACGAAAGAAAACGGAGATGAATGTGGAATCTGATTTGATATACATGTGTATATACATTGGTATTTGTTTCTTTCGTCATCATTCAATTCACTCACTATATATTATATATATATGTATATATATCTAGTCAGACAGACTAAATACAAACATGTAACTACTATAGTTGTTGCTGTCGTCGTCGCCGCCGCCGCCGCCGCCATCGACGCCGTCTAGACTATGACGTAATATATTGAGTGGATAAAGGGAAAGAGAAAGGAAAATGAAGAAGTGAAATAGTTAATGCTTGAACATGTGTGTCTTTTCTTTTTTTTTCTTGATTAAAATACGACTAGTAAAAAAAGCAGAATACTAACTATTCCATTAATAAAAATGACTTCGGTGTGCCAAAATATATAATACAAATCACGTTCGTCATATCGATAATTATAAAAATAGCAAAACACAAATAACATTAAAAGGACACAATCAGAATCTTTTATTCAAGTACATTTATATAAACATCTAATGTTGTTTTTTTATAGTTTGTTATTAATATATATGACTGCAATACATCCTGCATTCACAAACAGGACAGGAGATGCACTATGCCCGAACTGTTTTTCATTATATTGATATTAGTTAAAGATTACTTCGAGTCATAAATGTAACGCTTCGTCCGACATTGTGTCGTGATTTTATGAATAAAAAAAATTTTCTTTTATATAGTTAAAAATATGGAATATAGATAAAATCTATTTTTAACTACGTAAAACAGATGACATTCCAACAGATATATGTAACGATGTTTATTCATTTCATTGAAATATTTTATCTTCATTATTTGAATATCTACTAAAAAGAAAAGAACGCTATTCAAAAAAGCAAAAAAACAATACATTTTATAATCATTACAAAGATTTCCCAATTGGTATATTCTCTAATGTGTTAATATACAATAAATAATCAATATAAACGTGTATATACATGTTGTCTTTTATTTTCGAATAATATAAAATGACCTTGAGAGATCATATAGACTTTCCTACTTTTTTCAATCAATAAGTAATACAGCTAATTAATATTTCTCATTTATTTAATACTCCTGCGAAATAAATATTTTCTTAATTAACCTTGAATTGAACAAGTTAGACATAATAAAAAATGAGATCACAGGAAAGAAAAAGGAAAAAGAAAAAAAAGGAACGACTTGATACCACAACTATCAAGGGATTGAGGTGAACAAGCAATTAATCTTTATATAGGTCTAAAACCATATTTTCATATGGCAACGAACGGATGCATTTCATACACCTATTTTTAGTATTTTCTCTTGAATTGATTATCAATGGACAAGAAGAAAATAGTTCTAATAATCAAACATCACCATGGAGTAAAAGATTCTTCTATTAATTTTGAACAAAAAAAACTAAATCTTATCTATTTAAGGTTGTTATTTAACAAGTGAACGTCGATTAGAATGTCGGAATTTATTTAATTTTTATTTATCATCTAAAAGTTTATGTGCAAACGATTATCATTTATTACTTCGTCAAAATATTGATGAGATAAATATTTTCAATGATTATAATTGTCTTGATCATGAATATCAATGTTATTTTGAATTCGACTCAACATGGTCAATGTGTTTAAATTCATTAAGAAAATTAACAATACAAAATTTAAGTTTTATTGTACGTCTTCATAATTCAAGACGTTTATTACCTATTGATTATCTTAAAATTGTTAATACGCATGGCAGTGTTACAGAATTTTTACATTTATTTCAATTTTCAAATCGTTCAAGTATTTATATACAAAATGTTTTTCCACGATGGTCAGGAATGGATCTTTATTCATTTTTTTCTCAATATCAATACATTAAACTTAAACAATTATGGATTAATGTTGTCGATTGGTATCCAATTAATTATATGAGACAAGATCAACAACTAGCCGTTCGACAATGGTTATTACAAATTCGATGTATGTAAAATTCTATTGATTTATACTTATTTTATAATAAAAAATCTTTCTACTTACGAACGTCTTAGTAATGCTATTGAAATCTGAATGAATAAAATCTGCTAGAAATCATGTTTTTGCGAGTTAATTTTGTTGTTTGTACTTGAAAACAAAGACACATAAGGTAAATATTTACCTAGACACAACCTTCAACGTCGAAATAGAACGAAAAAAAAACTTAATTTTACCAAACCTATTATATTTTCTATACCTCTTAGCAATAATAATAATAATAATAATAATAATAACAAGTTTCTATGACGACACACCAGACTTTTTTCGATTTTCAATTGTACTATTAGGTCAAATAGAATAGGACAAACTTCCTATTTTTAGGTGTTACATTCTTTGAATATAAGGTTAAAAGAGCCATAAAAATTCTAAATATAACTTTTATTATTAAAATGACGGAATGCCCTCAAACGACAAAAAAAGAGACATATTAAATATCTTTTTTAATCAAGATCATTGTATCTCAATTAGAACAAAAAAATGAAAAAATTTTGTTTTTTTAGGTCTTCATATTGAATTAGGTGATTGTACATTATATCATTATGATATGCTATTTTTACGTGATTTATTTGGATATAGACAAGAAAATCCAAATGAATTATATTGTTATACAAATCATGGTGCAAATCGTTTTCATTGGTCACAATTACCTGCGTTATATTATAATTATAAAATACCAAAACGACCTTCACCTAATATATTTCTATCAACAGAATTATTTGAAAATTGTTTTGATCAATTTACAAAAGGTATGTCTTATTGTTTTTGTTCTTCGTATTGAAATAAAGGATTTTATTTTTAGAACGATATACAATTAATTCATATACAGATCTTCTAGAATTTTATTCTTATTTTCGTGTATTTGAATCTTATTCAATACCAATATGGACAATATATCCATATGCAACATTAGCAAATTTACCAATAAGTACAACAAAAATAACACCAACAACATTCGCTAATAATTATACATCAGCTTTATCTAGAATCGATTATATAAATTTATATGAATATGCATTTGCATTTAATGAAACACGTTGGTTATCATCAGTTGAAGCATATCCTGATGGAAGATTTATAATAATTGATAATGGTAATCAACAATTATTGTTACTTAATGCAAATGGTTCATATCGTATTGATTTAACATCAATATTTTTTCGTCAAATTGAATTATCAACAAATGAGGTAGATTCATCACCAACTATTCATAATTCTTATTCATTAGCACATATACATATTGATCAAGATAGTTATGTATATTTAATTCCAACACTTGCTTATTATATTTATATATTTTCTCATGAAAATCGTCTTGTACGTTGTCTTACACCACGAATATTAGGTATATCTGTAATGCGTAGTGATTGTTTATCTGTAACTAATACAGGTTTAATATATGCATGTGATGATACATATCGAACAATAAGAGTTTATTCACGTATGGGTATACCACATAAGACAATACGTTTAGATTTTTTACCATATAAATTATTTATAAGTAATAATAGAATATTTACTTATTCACTTGAACAAACAGCTACTATTCATATATATACATTAGCTGGTTTACCGATTCGAAAAATAACAATATGTTCGTATAATTTACCATCAGAAGTTATTTGGTTTCGAGGTAAATATTTTTTAACATGTGGCACATTTCTATACGTTCTCGATGAACAAGGAGATTATATAGCTGAATATAGTCTTCATACAATACTTGATTATTCGAATACATCGGTGATAATTCATGATTTTGCACTTAATGAAAATGGGGTTTTTATCGTTACATTTCGTCGTAATGGGACATTATTTAATCGCTATTGGGTTCTTCGGCCAATGACTTTTTAAAACATATTTTTAGAAAGATATCAACAATTTCTTTTTCTTGTACATTGTTTTTCTTGCTCCGGTCTTATTTAAATATATATATAATACGTGTGTATGTTTTTTTTAAAATCTTTATTACTGACGACGGTATATAGATGAAAGACAAAAGAAAAATAAAAGAGAAATCATGGCACCGTGTGTTTATATCTGACAGAGAAAACGAAAATCGACTAAATTTTCCTGAGAGTATATGATCTGACATAGAAGAAAAAGTATGAATGATGATCAAGATAGATATCACGCTACTGTACACAAAAAAAGATAAAAGAACTCGTGGATGTTAATACACCGGTGAGAAAGATACTATCATCATACACACACACTACTGGAAGAGCACAAAATCGACTGAGAAGTATTTTTAATCTCTTGGATACATTCGGGAATAGAAGTAATCTAAGCAAAAAAAAATACTAGAAGAAAGAATTGTAGGAAATGGGTTTTGTTTAATGAATCGAGGTCGGAAAAAAATATATATTTCAATATTCGCTTGTCATAGACATATCATTTGATGATGTTGTCGTTGTTTGATATTGTCCTGGCATAGATGGTGGACCCATAGAATACATATATGGAGATGGAAGATAGGCATGCTAAAAGAAAAGTATTTTCTTAATTAATTTTATCACATTGAATTTTATGACATACTCCATTGAACAATTGTCCACCTGATTGATGTGCACCATTTTGAGTATAAAATGTTGGATAGAAAGACGGTGGTAATTGCTGAACATACAGATATATAAATATACATAATTTATTGAAAATTTTATCTTACCGGATGATGCGGTGATGATGGACCTTGAGGTATTATATAGGTACCAGCCATTGGCATAAATGGCATCTGAATAGAATGGAATATATTAAAAATAGAATAGAATTAATAGAACTTACATTTGCTTGCATAGGAAAAAACATTTGCGGATAAACAGGATGTACCGCTGACATTTGTTGTTGTTGTTGTTGCTGTTGTTGATGCTGATGATATGGAGTTGATGGCTGTTGAGACATTCCATTTACTGCTGATCGTGAAGGTGTTGGTGGTGGTGTCATTGTTGAACCACTAGTAGGACAGTAAGATGTAGGACCTAACAAATTATATATATTTATAAGATTAATCGAAATAAACTATCTTTGATAATCTAGATATCGTAGATAAAACGATTTTACGGTAAAATAGCTTCTAGCATATAGACAAATTTATCATCTATACCTTGACATCAAGGTCTTTCTCATAAAAGTCTTTTTATATACTATATTTATTAATATGCCTTCGGAAATAATAAAAAAAAAGGTCGGTTTCTATTGAAATTACAATCATTTATTTCATAATTAAAAAGTAATTATGTATATAACGTATGATAAATAGAGTTAGATGTCTGTTATTAAGATTTACTATGAAAAAGATCGATTCCGCAATATATCGAAACTTTTGAGATGTATGGGTAGGTGAATTAGGGTAAACAAGAGGTGATTCTACAGCCTCAAACACACCCACCCTCGAAAAAAACATAAACTTTATATTAACCATGTACATCAGGACCAATCGAATGGTTCGTTTTTCTTTATAGTTATTTGTCATTATCAATAAACATATTTTTCATTGATTCGATATTTTTTTCTTTCGGCATTTTCAATGCATACCGTTATTCATAGGTATATATTCTGAAATAACTAACGAATAACAGGCATATTTCTGATTTTTGAATTCATTGAAAATTATCGACATCTACATATTTTCTTTCTCTATCTATTTAATAATTCATATTAAATATAATTTCCTACTTGTTAATGAAGACATGTTATTTTTTTTATATGCAGGTGCTAAAACAATCGGTTGATTTTGGAATGTAAGTGGTACAATTGCATGTTGACGTAGTATATCTAATGCAGTATTTTCATTTACAAATGAAATAAATGCAAAACGTCTAAATAAAGACAAAAGACGATAATAAGAAATAATTCGAATAAAAATCTAAACATACGTATTTTCTTTCGCAATTATTTTCACATCATGAATAGCACCAAATGATGAAAAACATTTTTCAATTTCAGCACCAGTTGTCTTAAATAAGAGAAGAAGAAAAAAATAAGAAACAATCTAATGAATTAATATATATATTTTAATCATACTTCACGAGGAAAATTTTTCATAAATAAACGATTAGCGATTAATTGATTTTGTCGTGGAATTTTAGAATCATTTAATTTATTAATAAAATTCATATGTTCTTGACTCGGCATTTTATTGCCGATCGATTGATTTATATCCATTTGACACAACAACAACGAGAAGAAGAGAGAGAGAAAAGATATCGAATGTTAAAAGTAGATTGAATGTTAAAATGATGGATTATCTCTTCTGCTTCTTCTTCTTCTTCGTCTTCACTTTTTCGTCCGTCTTGAATCTCAATCAAACAATGTTTGGTTGAACAGTACAAAGAATTTTATTCAATCATAAGATTTTCTTTCAAAATGCATTAATGCTTTAAATTTATTTGATTGGTTATCCAGAGATTAACAATAAATGTCTACAGATATTTTTTTTTTCGTTCGTTGATATATTTTATGAATAGAAAGAAAAAAAAAAGTTTTTTTTAAAAAATCTTCTTGTTATTCTCACGTATAATATCATTCCATTTTTGTGTTTTTTGATTTCATTTAAAAAAAAATATATCCAATATTATATTAAATTATTTGTCTACGAGATATTTTGGAAATTAAATAATGATATTATTAAAAATGAAAATATAAGAGAATTTTAACTTATTTCTGTTAATTATCAGCAGTTACTCAGTGATATATTAAACGAAAACAAGAATAATAATTGATCTGATGTGAGTCATTAATTTTATAGGAGGAAAAAACAATCTAATTTATCATCAGTAAACATTTTTCTTACTATCTAAATCAGATTGACATGTGAGAATATTGATGAGTTTATCATACGGTTATTTTATACATTATGTATGAATCGGATTTGTGTTAAAATCTATACAATGATTTATTCCCACATCCGTAGAAAAATATTATTTCCAATGATGTAATACACAAAACAATGACTGAAATATATTCCCATTGAATTTATTTCTATACTATTGTTCTGTTGGTGACATATGTAATAATTGAATTTGTTTTTGTTTTAGCTATCAAGAATGAATAATATCGATCATACACGTCTTGCTCGATTACGTCCAGAAAAACTTGATGATGTGGCTGTTAAAGAACAAATATTTTTAGTAAATTATTTTTATTGAAGAAAAAAAAATATATTTTATTTTATATAGATACAACAAACATGTGATGATGTTGATCCAGAAATCATAGCCCTTGTCTTTCATGAATGTGATTATAATATGCAACAAACGATAGCTCGACTACGAGCACGAGATTATGAGGTATGCAATAAATTTACAATAGGAAATATTTATTTATTTTTTTTATTTCAAAAAGGATGGTGGATGGCAAAAAGCTAAACCAAATAATAAAAAGAAAAACCATAGCAATAACAATCACAATGTAGGTGATCAGATAATAAATGGTATTACTTCAAGTGATAATGAACGATCTCTATCTCAACGTACTTCTCCTATATCATCTATTCGTGATACACATCGTCGAAATGATCATTATCAATATTCGTCATCAATGCGTACGAATAATACTGGACGACGTGGTAAATCTTTTCTATGAAATTAATCTTATTTTCATTCAAAAGTCCTTTTATTTTTTGCTCTTAGGAAATGATTCAAATCGCAATCATTTTCTTTCACCACATACACGTTATTCATCTAATACGAATCCCATAAATAAATCAATTCCATTACCAAAACAATCTACATCATCTCAATCAATACCGAGTGAACCATCATCATCATCATTACCTAAACAATCAAATGAAGAAATACCACAGAGAACTTCACCATCAATAGATGAATATGAGTTTGTTGATGGTATACCACAATCATTAAGTTTTGATAATAGTCAAAAGAAAATACCATTACAACAATCTTCAGAAAAACGTCGAATAGTACCAACAATTCCTCAAAAACCTGTGTCAATGCATCCGACAATACAATTTTCAACTGAACCAATTGATATACAATTTGGTGATGTTCAATGGAAAGATTCAGTAGCTAGAGCAGTTACTCCGTCCGATGATACATCTGTATCGACAACATTTAATAAACATGAACAAAATATGTCATCAATTGTAAACGCTCAAGATCATGAATCTAATCAAGAGTAAGAAATTTATAAATAAAATATATATCCCATTAATTTTTCATTTTCAAATTCTAGTGCTCAAGATAATTTATCATCGAATTATATCGGTCATTCTGGAACGAATGAAACTGATATTCAATTTCTTGAAACTACAAATCAATTATCATCATCATCAATCAATGATAATACAATAGTAATCAAATAAATTATTTTCATACATAGATATATATTTATTTCTTTTTTGTTTTGTTTTAGTCAAATAATTTGTCCATTGTTCCTACTGAAGGTACATCTCATTTATCTGATCATTTAACTAGTACATCATCTCCTGTTGCAACTCAATCTTCATCTCAATTACAAGCACCAATACAAATTCCTATTACACGTTTACCACCTACATCAACACCACGTGCTTCTGAATATACTTCACCAACATCTCAATTTATACCAAACAATCCTCAACAAAATAATGCAACAACTACTGCATCAGCATTTACTCCATTTAATAATCTTGGCAATTATCCGTATGTTTCATTTTAATTTATATTTAATGTTTTTTAATCGATACAATTAGATCTATACCAAGAGAATATCCTCAGACAACAGCAACAGCAACTTGGAATCCACAATCATCAAACTATAAAACAAACCCTAAAGCACCAGCGCTTCCAATAGGTACCTATTCACAACAAACTTCGTATCAAATACCACCTCAACAACAACAACAGCAACAACAAATCTTTGTTGGACCTTATCCATATCCTACTTTATCACCAACGGTAAATTTAATCAATTACAATATTCGTATATCATATAAAAGTTTTATCATTATAGGTCGTTCAAGTATTTGCACCTCTTGATCATTGGTCAACTACTGGATTTTCAGCACCATTAGAATCTTATCAATATCCAACTACTAGTAAAAAAAAATTTTCTATTTAAAATATTCTTTACAATCTTTTCTTTTTTATAAGATTACATACCAACATATCCAAATCAACCACAATATCATCCACCAACTAAATATGGTAAATAATTTTATTGTTTTTTTTATTCAAGATTAATATTTTATTTTTTAGATCAACATTCTTATGATAAAGAATTTTTTGCTCATTATGGACAAACATCTGCACCAAATAATGATTTATCATATCCACAACAACAATCATCTACATCGTCACAACCTACAAAAGAGATGCATATAGCAAGTAAATTATCACCAACAGCAGCTACATTCTCTCAGGGTGCTCCATTAACAGCATCACCTTCCTCAACTGCTCTTTATTTAAATCCAGTTGCATTTTCAATACCGAATTATATGCCAACAGTTAGTGGATCAACATATCAAGATCAAATCTTATCTCATTCTTCGATAAATAATCGTGTGAGTATATATTCAGTATACTGTTTGATGTATAAAATGAAATGTATAATAATAACTTTTAATATCTCTCGTATGAGTATTGAAATCATCTCAAATAACAAAATATTCACTTCACATATGTTAGCATATCTGATTGACATGAACAGATTATTTATCTTCTCAATTACTTTTTTTTATGTTTAATAATATAAATAATTTTTTATTTTCTATTTTAAAGGATAATCGTAATGGCGCTTCATATGGTAATGCTAACAATCGAAATAATTATTATCATCATGGCCAACAACAACAACAACAACGTACACATAATAACAATGCATCAAATTCCACTTGGCATTTGCAACAGTAGTATTGAAATAAAATCATCACAGCTGTTGTAGTTGATTATTTTATTTCCATTTTTACCCTTACTTATTTGTTCTTCATTTCAAACTTCGTTTTTTTCTTCTTCTTCTTCTTCTTCTTTTTCCTTCTATTAAAGAAACCAGTGCACAGTATCGATTCATTGCCATAGAAAAGCAATATCGATGTAAGCTATTTTCTTTTCATTTTCTTATGCATATATATATATATGTTATATTAAAAAAAACACCTTGCATATTTCCTAAGAACAAAACAAAACAGTCTTCTTTTCGTTATCTATCTGTCTTTTTGTTGGTTTTTGACATTTGTCTCTATTTCTTTCCTTTTTGTTGTGATAACGAACATTTTCCTATTTTATTTCTTCTCGAAAACAAAACAAGTATATATATATACATATATACAACATTCATTTCTTTTCTTTTTTTTTATTATTATCTCATCCATTGTTATTGATTGTCGAAATTCTAAACATAAAGAAAGATGATAATTATTAATAAACAGAAGACAAAAAAGTATTTTATTTATTTAGATGTTTAATAGTAATTTTAATTGGGATCGAATACCAACTAAAATAAAACGAGCCATTGAAGCAAGTCTTGAACATTTAGATGAACATAAATTTATATTAAATGATACAAATACGGAATTTATTGATGATTATTGTTGGGATTTAAGTAAGTAATTTCAACAAAAAAGAATACATGCTATCGATATTATTAAGCAAAAAAACAAAATTCTTATATTTTATATTCTAGTTACATGTCATTTAAAACAACTTCTTTATATAAATTTAGCACATAATAAATTTAAAAGTAAGATTGAATAATATCATCTAAAAAATAAAATTTTAATTCGTATTTTAGGTTTACCAACTCATATTTCAAATTTAATACATTTACAAACATTAAATGTAACGAATAATCATCTAGAGGTATATAATCTTTTTTTCTTACAAATGAGATGTTTCTATATTTTTTGTTTTCAGAAATTACCAGCATCAATTATATCACTGTCAAATTTACGAATTCTTAAACTTGGTCATAATAAACTTCAATCATTACCTCGATCATTTGGTTCACTTCAATCTCTTGAAATTCTTGATCTAACTGGCAATGATTTAAATGAAGATAGTTTAACGAATGATTTTTTTCAACTTTGTAAATATTTATTATATATCATATATTTTATTTTTTTGTTTGTTTACATTTATTCAAGGTAATTTACGTGCACTTTATCTTGGCGATAATTTATTTGAAACATTTCCGAATGAACATATTGATAAACTACAAAATTTGCAAATAGTATGTAATAATTTAAAATTCGTTATCGAATGAATATTCTATAGGTGTATCATCTGATGTTGTTGTTGTTGAATTTTGTAACCATGTTACAATTTTTGGCCAATAGAATTGAGAAAATATATAAACATTAAATATAGTAACAAACATAAATAATAAAACTAGACGACCAAAAGCTGATTTAAGAAAGAAATATTTTGCATAATGAAATACATTATTCATGGATGGATGACTCAGCACATGTGAGAGCTCATTTCGACGACGATGTTGTTTATTTGAACGACGTGTACGTTTAGCTGTAGCCTAAAAGATTTTAAAAAAATCAATGATTATTTTTCAAGAAAAATATTTATATACAATGTTCGATGATGTAGACCCTGGCATTATAAAAGATGTGCTTCTTTTGTATGCTTGATATTCAATGTGTCTATAACACAAAATCATTCATGTGTAACACTATACGTTTTTTTTCTCGTTTCAGCTTGTTTTACGTCACAATCGCCTACGTTACATACCAAAAGAACTAGCTTCTTTATTACATTTAAAGGAACTTCATATACAACATAATGAAATTAATGTTTTACCACCAGCTTTTGGTAAGTAAACCATGGTTTATATTTAAGAGTTAATATGTATGTATTTTTTTTTAACAGGACAACTTGAATTTAGTAATGCAAAACATATTTATCGATTTGAACCAAATCCATTTATTCCTGAACTTGCTTTACAAATGAGCAATTTAACACGATTAAGTACTTATTTGAAAAGTGATGCTTATAGAGAAATTCATCAAAATTATTTTTTAAATTTTGACGATAATGATACGAAAACATTAATCAAGAAGAATAAACATGTTTCTACCAAGAATAAATAACACTTTTGTTTTTATATAATTTTAATGACATCTATAGTTTACTTCTTATCAGATAATATGTACTCATTTTTTATGTAAATTTTTAAATTTGCTTTTATTGTTTTTTGTATATGTCTGTATATTATGTCAGATGCATGAATAATTGATGCCTGAATGAAATAAAAAGAACCTGAACTAAATTAATTTCTATTGTGTTTTACAAAATTGGATGCGTAGTTCTTCTTCAGTAATTATTGCAAACCGTTGATACTATTATTTTAAAATATTTGTCTTAATTACAAACATAAAGCAAATATCAATTATGTAACTAGAAAACAAAAATATCTGCATTAATATTATTATTTATAATATCTTCTGCACTAGTATCATCACTCACAATAATCTTCTACATTAATAACATGAACTAATATCATTTTATAATAACATTTACAAAAACTCTCTTCACACATTGCTTGAAAAGAAATTCGAAAGACCTCGCGTATTATATATTTATTTATGATTAAAAATATGTACTATTCTCTTTACTCCTTTGTTTCTCTTCCTCTCCTTTATAATTATTAAACAAGTATTTATATTTATATTTGTTTAATTTCTTCTTAAAATAAAAAATAATTAAAAAAATATTTCTGTTTTGTTTCTTTCGTTTGTTTTTTTTCGCTTATTATTATTTATTCTCATAATCAGTGTTGACTTAAATTTATATAAGAAAAAAATCTACAATTATTCATATGTCTCTAAAGAATTTTACCTTTTGTTTTTATTACTAACTT